TGAGGCCGAACGCTGAGTCCCTGAGTCCCTGAGGCCAGAGGCCTACGGGTCCTTTGCTGTGAAACTTGGCAAAAAGCTACATTTTTGCTGGCAAACTATGGGAACCCTGTAAAGTTGCAACCAAACCTCTATTTTTGCAAGGGAAACTTCCAACGGACAACATTTTTGCTGCCAAACTTCGAAAAAGCAATATTTTTGCAATTGACCCTAAAATAAATGGTGTGCGCAGCCGGCGCACCTGCGCCCCGCCAGCGCGCAGCGCACTGCGCACCCGGGTGTGCGGTGCGCGCGCACCTCGGGTCCGCGCACCGCACAGCGCACGGCGCACCGCGCAGCGCACAGGGTCGGTGCGCCGCAAGTATGGTTTCTTCAGAAAAAGTGCGATGGCGGACAAAACAATTGGAAGCCAAGAAGGCTGCACCTGAGGGCAGAAACAACGACCACAGCACTGCATCACCAACACCGATGAACAAAGACCTCGCAACAGTTTCATCTCTGCCACCTGCTTGGCCGCATTTGGTTGGGTTCACCGACAATCTGCGCAACACCTGCAATGATGCAGGCATAGTGAACTGTACACGTTCTAAGAGCCGGCTACCTATATAGTACGAAAGAGCCATGCACAAGGCAACATGCACATCCAACCTACGGGTTGAATAAATGGGACATCAGTGCATCACAGAGGTAGACGATCAGAGTTGTTCAGACGTGCGCAGACTTTGACAGGGTGGACAGAAAACCTGCTCATTTTCAATTTTATGTCAATTCTGAGCATGTGAAGTTGTCCTTTTGGATGTCCTTCACCTCTGTCATCGTCCTATCTTGAGTTGTTTCCCTCTGCTTCCTATTCCAACTTGCCGGTGGACATGGATTGTCTTGACTCATTTACTTATCATTGGTGAATTTGAATGCACGAAATGTGACACCTCTGCTTGTTCCCATTTCTCATATATACGTTAATGTGAATGCACTATGAACGCACTGAAAGAACTCAATTTGCAAATGGCTGACCAGGATCACATGGATGAACCGCATACTTGTGCACCACCCTGTGCAGACCCCACGGGTGATCTACAAATGACTGACCAACAAAACCAGCCTGAGATCCCCGCCAATCTCTGTGGTCTGACTGCAACTAATAGCTGCCTTCRCGTTCTCAATCGGCCGTTGTATACACCATCAGATTTCCTTGCAATTGCCCTGCAGCTTGATGTTGATCTGGCTAATCTCGCTGATCCCCCCGACCTACAGCCAGAGCATCGTAATTACACCAGGGAAGGAGGTTTTACC